CCTGCCGCGCGGGGGGGGGGGGGAAGGAGTGAGCGGTGGCAAGCAGGAGGGGAGGACAGCGTGCAGAGGAAGGGGAGAGCAGGGGGAAAAGCTCCCCCCCCCCCCCCCCCCCCCCCGCCCCGGATGGCAGCCTGCGGCAAGTGCAGCCGGGCTGATGGCCGAGTGCTGTGATGTGCCGAGTGTGGGCATTCAGGGTACTCCAAGCCAGGACTGCTTTGCTGTCCCTCATCGAGGTAGACAAGCAAGCGGGGAACCCCTGAGAACTGTCTGTCTGGGGTGGAGGTCAGGTCCCTTTAAGCACAGCCCTTGGCTAGCCTGAGACAGCAGCTCCACACTCTAAGTCCTAATCTGATGCCCTGCCGGCAGTGCTTCCGGCCATGCTTAACCTCAGTTCAGGGTCCACTCAATGTGGACATGCTAGTTCGAATTAACAAAATGCTAATTCGAACTAGTTTTTAGGTCTAGATGCACTAATTCGAATTAGCTTATTTAGAATTAACTAATTCGAATTAAGTTAGTTCGAATTAGTGCTGTAGTGTAGACATACCCTTTGAGATTCCTCAAACACTGTATCTATATAAGCTGAACCTCTTTGGGGAATCCCATTGCTAGACCCAGAAACAAAGCAGAAAGTGGAATGATAGAAATCCCAGTCATCTCATCCCACACAATAGGATGCTACAGATTCTGGGTCAAATAGAAATGAATAGCTCAGAAAACCAAGTAGTTCCAGGAAAACTCTGAATGCATACCATCTACCTTTACACCATACCTTTAATATTTGTGTCTATTACATCACCTGCCATTTTACATTCCAGAACTTTAGTGACACCTGTATCTTTTCCACCTACTCAGATGTACTACTTTGCACTATCGTCCAGATCTTCCGTCAACGAGTATCATCATCACCTTTCACAATGAAGCCAGATCCACCCTCTTAAGAACTATCAGAAGGTAAGAAAGACTTATGCAAATTAATATGTGAGTGTAGCATAATATGTATGACCCTGCTTCAAAAGCACGCGTGTCATTTTCCTCACACTATGACAGAAAATCCTTCCCATTTCAAAAAAGAGTTAGACCTTTGTATGAAAGATAATCCTCTTTTCAGCTACGCTTACCAGGGTTACAAAGACTACTCATCCAGGTCCTAGGACGAGCACTAGCTGAGGAGATCCTGAGATCTGATTCCCATGAAGTAGTTTTGCCCAACGCGGTGCGTTATGGAGTGTCTTCCTTTGAAATGTCTGACAGTGTTGCGGTTGAGAGCAGGTCAACAACCAGATGGCTCTTGGGATGGCAGGTTTTATATTCACGTGACTGTCAATGCTGAGCTGTGGTTTTCCAGAGTCGTATCTGTGGCTTTGCAGAGGTCTGCTTTAGTATCATTTTTTTGACTTCCCCAGTGATACCAGTCGGCCACAAGGGATGCTAGCAAGGAGAGTTGGCTGAGAAACTCTGATGGCTCAGAGAGAGAAGCTGCTTTGTCATGGACTGTTCCTGAGCTCTAAGGGTGTGTCTATACAGCGGCGCTATTTTGGGATACTTCCGGTATCTCGAAACAGTGTTTTCTGCGTCTTTACAGCGTGCCCGTTATTTCAATATAGCTTTCAATATAACGGGCACACTATTCTAATGTCCCTCTAAACCTCGTTCCATGAGGATTAAGGGACGTTTTGGAATAGCACTCTATTTCAAAATGTGGTGCTGTGTAGACAGCTCCAAATATCAAAATAAGCTATTTTTGGAAATTAACTTGAAATAAGCTATGCAATTTGCTTAGCTCAAATTGCATAGATTATTTTGAGATAAGGGTGCAGTGTAGACACACCTTAAGGGTATGTCTACACAGCAAAGTTATTTTGGGATACCGGTAGGTATCCCGAAATAGCTACCCTGTGTCTTTTGAATGCGTCCACAATTTCGAAATATAACGGACGTGCTATTTCGCCATCCTTGTAAACCTCATTCTACAAGGAGTAAGGGATGGCTCAAAATAGCGCTTTATTTCATTTATTTGACTGTGTAGACAGCGCCAAATGACGAAATAAGCTATTTAGAAATAGACTAAATAAACTACGCAATTTCAAGTTTCGGGAGCCATGTAGACCCACCCTAAGTGAGCAGTGGAGAGGTCTGAGCATGTGGCCATTCTTCCATGTGTTGGATCGTTCTTGGCTGTGGTTTTCTGTAGTGTGATAGAGCTCATGCTTCATTTTCACTGCAGGTTTTCTAAAAGCAGCATTGAATTCCAGTGTATCTTGATTCTAACAAAGCTCATTGCTGTGGAATGGAAAGATTTCTTGAAAACTAGTCACAACTTCTGTCCTGTTAGATCAGTGCACTTCGTTCAGTGGGCGGCTCACCCCAAAGCAGTGGTCAGGTGCATTCAGTCATGTTTATTATACAAGCGTTTGACAAGTGGATTTCTCATGTAAGTAAGGGAAGGGAACAGAGTAAGGGTGGCCCAACTATGGCTCTTTTACTATTAAAGTGTGGCTTGTGGAGCACCCCACCCCCATTCTCCATGTACCAGACTGGGGAAGGGGGAGCTCAGGACATCTGCCTTGAAAGAGGAGTGATAGGGGAGAGGCCCACCAGGGTGTGTGTCTCTCAGCTTCAGCTCTGCATCTGCAGGGAATCTGGGGCTGCAAAAGGAGTGAGATTGAAAAGCCCCATCAGGGGCCTTCTGTGGGGCGGAAGCCAGTGTGCCTGGGCTCTTGGACTTCTGAAGATTGCTGTATGTGATTTGGAGCACCAGTAAGTTTGGCCACCTTGAAGGACTGGCTGATGCTGAGGGACTAGCCTCACCCTCACCCCTTCCGTCCAAGGATCTGTCCCCCACTTTGCCCTGGGGCCTGACAATTCTGTCAGCAGCCCGGCCCATGCTGGCTCAGCTCCAAACAACCTCTGTTTCCTGCCTGCTTTTGAACCCAGTTCAGATCTAGTGTCCTCTTAAGCCTTTGTAAGCTAATATATCCGGATCTCTGGTCTGTTTTGTCTCACTCAGTAACTGCTTGGCTTAATTGGATCTTAGAAATCTCTCTTCCATGACCTCAGTAACCTCTTGTTGATACATTTTTCCATATGTCAGTCAGCACAAAATCTGCCTTAATACTACTTTGTGCTTCTGCCAAAGGACGTCAGAGCACTTTATGTGCAACAATAATAATCATATATAGCTCTTGTAAAAGCACTTTTCATTAGTACCTTTCAAAGTGCAAAGGATGGTAAGTAGCACTGTCTCTATTGGCTGGGGAAACTGAGGCATAGAGCAGCGACTTAACTTGCCCAAGATCATTCAGCAGGTCAGTGGTAAAGCCAGGAATAAAATCCAGCTGTTCTGAGTCCCAGTTGAGTGTTCTCTCCATTGCCTTTTTGAATTAAGCCTCTTGGTAGCACTGTGAAATTAGTATGCGCTGTCTAGCCTCCTTTTGTTAATGGGGATAAAGTGGGGCAGAGAGAGATTGTTTCAGGAAGAGTGCCTAGGCTATAACTACTAGGAAACATTACCTCTTTGTTTCACTGTTTTATCTTCTCTTTGCCATGGATTCCTCTTCCCTTCAAAGTTATTCCTGAACACTGTCCGTTGCCTACCATAATGGGGTCCTAGAAATCTTAGTTACAGACCAGGTGCTGTAGAAATATAAGTAAACATTAATAATTTGTCCCTGGCTAATCGTCAGAGCAGTGGCCCTGAGTTTGCCTGCCTGGCAGTGAAATAAGATGATGACCGTTCCCCAGAGTCTTCATCACAAATCAGTGGACATCATTGTAAACACGAGGAAGAAAAATGGGAAAGAAATTACTTGTTGTAAAAATCACAAGAGTGGGGATAGGCTGCACCGTCCTAACTGGACACATCAACCCATTGGAGCATGATGCATGTATATACTGAAAATGAGCAAATAGTGGGGGGCAAGTCACCATTAATCATCCTCAGAACTCAAAAGTAGGTTTCAGTTTGATGCTGTTTGTGCACTTTCCCAAAGACATGTGAGATCCTTACTAGCTTGAATCCTCATCTGAAGCTTGAATACTTGAATCTTCACTGCAAACAAACTTTGAATTGGACTGCAAAATCTGCATGTCTGGCTCCTGCCTGGTCAGTGGCATGAGTGACCTAGTCAGGGGATGGGAATAATGTAGTGTGACTTCTGTCAGTAGTCAGCATGACACAACTTGTGGATTTCTCACATTTTGAACATCAGCCACACACCATTTGTGAACAATCTGCATCCTGAGAATTAGTCACTGACAAAAATTAAAAATTTATGTTGAATAATTAATTGGTTGAAGAAAATCATGGTCTATTCCCCCACCATTTGCCAATGGGGAGGGGGGGGAGCCCAAATTAATTGAATGCATAGTTCTCTGGGAATTCTTTTATCAGCATTAGTATGTGTGAACATCTCAGGGATGAGGTAGGCTTCTAGGGTCAAGGCAAAAGAAAAATAGGAGGAGGCTGGAAAGAGAGAATATGGCAGATAGGAAGAAATATGGCATTGTCATTAAGGAGTATATTATACTGGGCATCAGGAGACCTGGGTTTGATGCCTGGCTCTACCACAGATTTTTCTGTGTGACCTCGGGCAAGTTACTTAATCTCTCTGCCCTTCAATTTTCCACCTGTTACATGGGAATAATAGCACTTTTCTACCTCTCCGGGCAGTTGTGGGGAGGATAAATGAATTAAAGATTGCAGAGCATTCAGAAACTCTGGTGATGGGGCCATATAAATACCTGAAAAAAGAGAGGCTGTGGGGGGAAACCTGGAACCTTTTCACAGCTGTCTACCCTACTTGACACCCTGTATTTCTTTTCCCACATTCTTTTCCTCCCATGCTCTCCCGCTGCCTCCTACAAACTTGAATTTAAAAAGAAAACTCCTTGTCATTTCCTGCTCCTGCTGTCCTAGGGAGAGCTAAAGACATCCACAGCAGCACAGCAGGTGGGAGGGTAAAGAATAATGCTGAAGTAAAGGAGCTGGACTCAGCAAGGGCTTGATCAACCGCAACGGCTCCTAACAGCGATTACTAGTAACATCTTACCATCATGTAACCCTCTCTATCTGTGAAGAGCCCCAAGGTGCTTTGCAAACTATAACATGCATGTGGGAATATCTCTTGCACCTTCCACTGTAGTGCAGCTATCTCTGGGGTGAAACACTCTGCTTGATGGACTTGATCCTGATATGCATCCATCAAAGTCAATGGCTGTTCAGTGTAACACAGGGCACCTCCTGCTGGTCACTCTGGGAGCTAGCTCTGCTCAATGCTGGAGCCACCTTCTCTGGCTGGCGTTGCGCCTGCTATTCCGTGCAGATGTTAATTAGCACCTGTGTCCCTCCCAGATTAAAGAACCCTACCCTCTGGATACTGCCCTGCCAGAGTGCCCCCATACTCTGGGGTCCTCCCCCTCAGAGACCCCCCCAACCACCTATATCTACTTTGCCTCTGTGACCCTACTTCCACTCGTCATTTAGCCTCTGCCTCAGGGGCCAAATGCAGTCTGGCCATAGCCACTCATAATAGGCAAGGGGGTGAGGACCTGTTGCCTTTGCCTGCCCTGGCTACCTTCCTGCAGCACTGGTATCCCTCAGGCCTCTGGCCCTGGGCCTCAACCTGGGACTACTCAGGCTGGAGCTCCCCTGGCTAACTCTGCTTTTCCCCAGCACTCCTCTGTCCATGGCACCCTGGCTAGCAGGCAGCTAGGTCCTTCACCTGCTAAGGCAGGAGTGACACTGTGCTCAACCTGTCCAGCCATCTCTTTTATACAGTCCTCCTATGCTCTGATTGGCTGCTGCAAGGTGTCTCATGATTGGTCCCTAGCGACAGCCCTCTCCCATAGCTATTTTAACCCTTCATATGCCTGGAGCAGGATGGCCACCATGCTACACTCAGCATCGTGCAAGGCAAAAACTGAAGTCAAATCCCGCATCTAACTGAAACGAA